GAGTTATTTTAGTATTGTACGCGCCTTAGCCGCCTCTCACATTTGCAGTCTCACTTACTAGGTGTGCTGGAAGAAATTTCTTTTTAGAAATCATCATACGTAAACAATAAACTATAAATAAATAAAAATGACGTCAATTTCGAAACACCCCCCTCCTATCTATCATTTACCGTCATCAACCCCCCCTAATTTAGAATGACGTAATATATGGACGGCCCTATACAAATTTATTGTAATGACATTTGTATGCATATTGTCTCTTGATAATGGAATTCAACGATATATTTATGAGATTGTATACAATTCTGTATTATAAAAAGGTTATTGTACTGTAAATAAAGATGTTTTGGATTATTTCATTTTTTTATTTATTGGAAAAGTACACGAATTGCATGTTCATAGTATACAAATTGATATACTGTAGACAATAAAGGCAGAACATACATACGATAGGCATACATAGGCCTCTTAGGATTTTTTTTTAGAAAAGAGCGACATATTTTCTACGTTTTGAGATAAATATTGATGATGATGGTCGGCGCTTTTTACAGCTTTAACAATGTCGGCTTCACAAGTAAATGTAACTTAATGAGTTTTGAAAGAAAACGCCTCTGGTTTTCGGTTCTGGGTCAGAATTTTGAACAGAAAGCCCAATGAAATTACAAAATGAGAAGCGAATAAATTACATATTTGTTCTGGAATTTTGTTTCTTGAAAAAAAATTGTTATTTATTTCCTTAATTCAATAAATAAAAGACAGTATGAAATTGGAGTCAATTTATTTAGGAATACGCTTATTAATTAATAATATTTGCATCAAAATACTGCAATAACGACTAACGGTACCAAGGAAGCTAAGTTTACACGCCGCGCCGCGCGGGGGCGCCACAATATCCATACAAAAATTACTTCTCTCCATACAATTGCTCTTCAAATGCATTCAAATGAGTATGATACAGGTAACGTGCGCGGAGTGAAACTATACATGTGTTGCCATAACTGGTAATATTTAGTGTTGCCAGTTGTCTATAAAATTACAATTCAAATCTAATAGAATAATTAAAAAAGCGTGTTTTGTTATTAATTTGACTTATCAACGCTTTTTAATTAAACCATAAAATTTTTGGATAGTTACGTTTATTACTTTGTAAAGTTACAATCGAATTTTCCACTGAATTTTAGTACGTTAAAATTTCAGTAGATTTGAACTATATTTTCTGATATATTAACCATCTTACATATATCGTCCACTAGTATAGTTTCGCGACGCGCTTAACAATAAAAATTCATACAAAAAGTCCTGCAAACAATTGCTTATTTCACTTATTCTGATGACTAAGTTCTAAGACTTCACTACATTACGAGACCACACTGACTTAAGATTAAATTGGTCAATATTTGACTTAAATCTATACTAATATTATAGAGAAACATTTCTATTTTTGGATTTTTGAATGTATTGAAATAACTCAAAAACTACTGGACCGATTACAAAAATTCTTGCACCATTATAAAGCGTTATCTGTGTAACATAGGCTTTATGTTACTATTTTTTAGTACTACGCAGGCGAAGACGTCTGACACAAATATTAATAAGTCAAAAAATTAAACGTAATACGAAATTTTACTCAGTATATGGAAAGTCATTTTAAACAATAGATTTTAATATGCAAGTGGTAACTGGTATTCATCATCCACTTGCCCTTATCCCTTACGGAGGTCGGCACAGTATGTGCTGCTCCATACATCTCTATCAGCCGTCATATGTGAATCCACTCCTTTCTTAAGCATATCCTCTTTCACACAATCCATCCACACTTTCTTCGGTCTTCCTCTTCCTTTGTAGCCTTCCATATTCAGTCTTAACGCTTTCTGGTTTATGTCCCCATCATTTCGTCGCATAACATGTCCATACCACGCTAACCTTTTGCTTCTCAATTTCTCCACCACTGGCGTTACTTTCAAACTTCCTCTAATGTACACATTCTTCTGTTCTAAAGTGTTAACTGGTATCAAATACGATATTAAATTTCATGAACATCAACTTTGCACGTTGTTTACTTTCTATTATCAAATGGTCAGAATCTTCAATTATTCTTAAATCAGTATGGTCTTGTATCAACTCTTCCCCTTCAACGTCGCCAACAGGCTAATTCTATTTATTATTGTTATATATATTCACTATGCTATGGCGGTATGAATTTGGAATGGACAAGCGGTCGCTTTCACCGTACAATTTCACTGCACTGATGTATAGTATAGTCATCTGTTCGATTGACAAAATATACAATATGTATACAAGTGTACACTGACACTTGTATACTAAAAGTATTTGACGAAATTTTGTGGAAGTTTTCAATGTTGTACTTTACGCCCGGTAGAGGCGCTGAGAACATCTAATGCAAATTTTGTCAATGATTACAAAAGTATTTGTAACTTCACTTGTCTACAAATGTCCGTTGAGTGACACTTGTATACATATTGTCTACAAATGTCCGTTGAGTGACACTTGTATACATATTTTCTACAAATGAAAGTTCAGTGACACTTGTATACATATTGTCTACAAATGTCCGTTGAGTGACACTTGTATACATATTGTCTACAAATGAAAGTTCAGTGACACTTGTATACATATTGTCTACAAATGTCCGTTCAGTGACACTTGTATACATACTGAATTTCATATTTCTCATTTATTTTGATAAAATAGAGACAGAATTTATGTTAAGTGTAATCGCAGTGTAGTTGTACGGGTTAACGGCGACGTCGAAGGCATTTTGTGCGATTGACGTATCTAGTGATGACCTATCGATATAATCTATTTATCGATATAGTGACATCGAGTTTAATTTTCATTTACATCAGGTAATTAAAACGAATAACGTATTAAAACCTATCGTTTAATATTTCACTAAAAAAGTATTATTGCATATCAATGTCACTATATTCGATTCTGATTTTCTAAACCCACGAAAATAATCCACAAACACACATCAATCTGAAATATAATAAAAAAGTACACATAGAAAAATGTATTCACACTTATATCTAGATAATGGAAGTATTACCTGGCAATGTTGGAAATTTTACTCAACATGTGTTTTTAATAATTTGTGCGATGACTTCAAATGAAACATATACAAAGAAAGATAGAAAACTCTTTCTTTCTTCAAATGAAACATAGAATAGTTTAATATAAACCATAGACAACACGATACACAAAATGCGTTGAACTTTTTAAAAATATCATCCATAGACATTATTGCTTTCTCAAATTCTTATAATTATGTAATTGCATTCTGGGATAAATAAATTATCAAAATAAATAAATGCTTACGTCTAATTACTAATAAAAAATATTTATTTTATTTTATTTATTTAATAAATATTTAAAAAACCGCAGCGTATCTACACACGCTCAGTTTTATCTGAATCGTTCAGATAAGAAGTCGCACAACTTTGACTAAACTATCGCACGACGTTCGTGCGATTGTCGCAGCCAATTGTTTTGCACAACTAAAAATCGAGTAGTGTACCTCCATATAAGGTCATAGGAATCAAAGCGGAACTAAACAGTTGTGCGATAGTTTAGTTACGCGCTCTTAATCTAAATAACTCAAAATTAGTAATTGAACAGTTGTTTTATTAGATTCAAAGACATTTAAGAATTAGAATAGACATAGTAAACATTTTTTCACCGGTAACTTCTTTTTACGGTAATATCTTTTTTTATATTAAAAGGTGACACATTAACAAGCGACCACTTGAAGCCGCCGAAATGGCGAAGCGACCGCTGCACATAGACAACCGAAATAGCCGATGCGTTGCCTACCCTTCATTGACGGAGGAGACACACATCCCGCGTCTCCTCCACTGTCAAATTCATGTTCCCTTCCCATGTTTCTCTTATGAAAAGCGTGGGAATGAAAAGGGACTAAACTCGCGTCTCCGTCAACGTCAAAGAGACGCCAAGACGCTTCTCTTTGTTTGAATTATTTGTTTGTGATTTTGACAATCGGTTACCATCTAGTGAGTATATGTGAAAAATGTTTCAAGTGTCAACTATGCCTACTTTATATTCCTATTAATCTCTGGATTTATCTAAACCAAAGTATATCACTTATTACCGCCCCCTTTGAAAACCAATGATATTTCAGCGCCCCCTGTTTTTATACAATTTTAGTGAAATTTAAAATACTATATAAAATATATGAAATTACAAATTATACATCATATGTTCTGGGGCTATAACGCCCCCTTCTAGGTTTCATACGCCCCCAAGGGGGCGTTATTGCCCACTCTGAGAAACACTGATCTAAACGATAGGACAATTTAGATAAAACTTAGCGTGTGTTGTATTTACACGGCCAATTCAATTTCACGTAGCAAATGCATTTACGTATCTATCCACAGGAGACGACATCTAATTATTTTGAAATTTACTTTAAAAAGTATAAAATTAAACGTATTTTAATATTATCTGAATATAAAACTGTAAATAAAACCGAAATACAAGTAAATTCTCATTTGACAGAACGCCATCTTGTTTTTCGATTTTGGCGCGCATTTTCAAAAAGATGGTAGAAAAATTAAATCCGTCTCCTGAACCATTTCTAGAAAAGCGAATTATTTTTAAAAGATATCGAACTTTTCTTCGATTCTAATATATTTCCTAGACCATTCAAAAATTACCACCACAATAACATACTCTCATTCTCAAATATCAAAAACGACACAGAAACATCAAAAATGATTTATATCAAAAATTTTCAAAAATTGATCCTTAAAATAAATAATATCATAATTTTTATATCAATCGTAAAAATTAAGAATTAATAGAAAAAAAAATTTCGTATTCCGATTTTTTAAATAAAGGCAAAAATTTAAACATACAGCCATAAAGAATTTTATTCAAAAATTCGATTCCTTCCAATGTTAAAAAAAATCAGTCGGTAATAAAACATTAATTGCCGTACTCAGAGACGTTAATCATCATTAAGGGATCAATTAAAACTTCTGAATACGTAATTAACGTAATGCCGCTAACAAGAATACTATTGTCATTTCAAAATAAGTCACTTTAATAATAAAATAAAAACCCGACTACGAATGTTTTATTTTAAAGTCGGTTTCCACTGCACAAAATATAATCTAAATAAATATATAAAAATCCTGGCTATATAGCTTAAATAGACTTCATTTATGTAATGTACAGTCGAGAAAGTTCGCGGTGTACCATTTTTACTTATAAATCTATACTAATATTATAAAGAGGAAACATTTGTATTTTTGTATGTATTGAAATAATTCAAAAACTACTGGGCCGATTTTAAAAAAATCTTACACCGTTAGAAAGGTTATTTATCTGTAACAGAGGCTATATTTTTAAATTTCAAGCGGACGAAGTCGCGAGCAATAGCTAGTAACTAATAAAGTAGCAGAAATTTTAGATTTTTCGAATTTTCATATGTACATAATTTACCCGACGTTCTTACGGTGAAGGAAAACATCGTGATGTGCACATATCGGCGAAGAAATTCAAAGATATGTGTGAAGTCAACCCGCAGTGCAGGTTAACTATGGCCTAGTCACCCCTTATTAGGGTAGGCTCCGAGCCCCTCGGTGGGGACATATAGATGATGACAGACTTTAAAAGCATTCTATTGGTTATTTTTCCGTATTTAAATGCGTAAAAATGTTCAAACGAATTTAAGGTACACCGTCAACTTCCCTGATTGTACGTACAATGGAAATAATTATAAGCAAAAATTTAATTTATCACAAAAAACATCTTACTAACAAGGATTTTCATAGTATTTTTAATCGTAGTCTGTAAAGCTTTTAAACTAATTTGTTCATGAAACTGAAAGCCTAGTTATTTCGACTAATTCACTGTTTACCCTCAAATAATATTTGTGCGTGAGTATTTTATTAAAACTATTTATTGTAAAAGGAATATTTTGCTAAATCGTTACAGATATTTGTCTATTAACTACACTCAAAGTGGTTAAACATCGCCTTAGCGTACTTATGTAGTACTAAATCTACACTAAGAGTATCCCTTAGTGGCGACTTTGAGTGCAGTTAATTTGACAAACATTTGTTTCAAACTGTATATCCATTTAAAATCCAAACAATAGTCAAAACGTAATTTCAATGACATTATTATGCCACCTTAACACCATGGTCTTACTTTGGTGTTTACAGTAATTTATACTGGTATAAAACAATACTAAAACATTGTAAACATCAAAATATTAAAAGGCTATGACCCCCAAAGATTTCTGGGGGTCCAGACCCAGTAAGAGACTTGAACTCCCAAAAACATTTTAGGCGAATGACCCCCTGAGATTTTTTAGGTATTAGAACCTTTTAAGGGGTTATGACCTCCAAAGATTTTAGGGGGTTCAAGCCCTTTATGAGGTTTGAACTCTGAAAACTATTTCAGACTTATAACCCCCTTAGGAATTTTGAGAATTCAAACGTATGGCGTTATGACCCCCAAATATTTCAGGGGGTTCAAGTCCCTTATGAGGTTTTGATCGTCAAAAATCTACGATAACCTCATAAGGGGTACCGTAAAAATATTTTATTGTTAACCCCCTAATTGTTATGTAACTTCATGAGAGATTATCTTGAGGGTGACCCTTAGTGTGTAGTGTGTGTACAGTGTGTACAGTGGAGTGCGCTGTCGGTGAGTACTATCAGCTGTTCGCGTGCGCGTTCGTCTGCGAGTTGAGGAGATGCTCCGGCACTGGGATTGGACGAAGTCGGGGAGGTATCTTCTTTTGAGGGCATAACGTCTGGAAAGAGAGAGATAGGTTACATTAAAAGGTATATTTCAGATTTCATATGCAATAAAGTATTGTAGTAAGCTATTTTTAAGAATCTTACTAATATTATAAATGCGTAAGTTTAGATGGATGTTTAGTAAAGTTTGTAGCCTAAACTGCTGAATGGATTTCGATAAAATTTAGTGCAGATGTAGTGTCTGGAAGAACACAGGCTGTTCAATTATATTTTTTTTTTACATCCTAGACGGAGTCGCGAGCGAAAGCTAGTTCCTAAATGTTTTGACTTTGTCGATTCTACAAGCTAATCAAAAGTACATTTATATAGGGGGCTATAGAGTGTAGTGTTAACAGTGGTAGAGCCCGCTTTAACATCGCACTGCAGCGCTCCTAGCAATACCACG